AAAATATGTCTTCAAACTTCACTCAGGTTAGGGGCGCCTGGGTGGCTCAGTAGGTTAAGCGTCTGTCTTTGGCTTTAGGTCATGATCTCAGGGTCCTGGGATCGAGCCCCACATCAAGTTCCTTGCTCAGCAGGGAGTCTGCTTCTCCCTCTGCCTCTCCCCCCCACCCTAACTCCTCTCTTTCTCTCTCTCAAATAAACAAAATCTTTAAAAAAAGTTTCACTCAGTTTAGTTGGACATTTTTTTAATAATTTGAAGTTTAAGGGATACAATTTGTTAACTAGATAGTTAATAGTTAAATAATTTAAGTTTAGTTAGAAATTGCTCTAATAATTTAAAGCCTCTAAGCAACAGGGATTACATTATCTTCCACCTTGCTGAACATCTTTTAAAATAAATGGCTGAAGGCTGAAAACTCAGCCAGTGACCAAATATAACTTGTTTTCACTGAGGTTTATTGAATTTTGGAGTGAATTTCACTAACTACCCTAAATGTTTCTATTTTGCATAATGTGCGTGTGTACTCATAAATATTCTTCTCTTCAAACCAATACAACGACTCAACAAGAACTGTGGACCGGGTTCCACCCAAGAAATGGTGGCAAAGCATCACTTTTGCCTGGGAGTGTGGACTTCTCCTCCGTGGGCAGGCATCGGGTGGGAGTCAGCATTGCTCTGCTCTGTCTGGGTCTTTACAGAAGGTTGGGGCACGCTAGGAAGGCCAGGGAGTGGTGGGGCAGCAGGAACATCAGTCTGGTGACAGATCCCCCGTCTATCTGGCTTATCCTTGAAACTCAAGTTAAATCATCACGCCCATTAGTATCTGTTCATAGTCCAGCAGTCATTGCCTTCTTTGAGGTCCTCTCCCTATTACTTCGAATAGGCCTTTATTCCAGCACTTATCACGTTGCCTTAGAATTATTTGTGTACATCTCCCTCTCCCTCACCAGACCAGGGGCCCTCGGGACAGTGACTTTTCATCTTTGGATGCGGGGAGTGTCCTGTAAGGACTAATGAACAGATGGAAAGCCATGCACTGGGATGAGCATGAAGAAGAGAATGTGCAAAATCACATTGCTGCAGGATCACACAGGGCACACATCCTCTCCTACCACCTTCTCCCCTTCTTCTGTTTTATCTCCCGGACTCGGCCATACAGATACTTAAAATTTTCTGAACCTACCATGTGATTTCATGCAGCTCTGTGCCTTTCCACTTTCACATTTACACACACACACACCCCCATGATGGGGAGGAGAGGGGAGGGTGGGCCAAACCCTACCCTTCTTTCAAGTCTCAGCTCATGTGTTTTGTTCCCCGAGAAAATCTGACATCTGTCTTCCAAAGTTGAACTGGATGTCCCTCCTCTGTGCTCCCACAACATCCTGTCTTTTAACGGAATGGCCTGTCTAATCCATGCCCTCCATTTCTTCTAGAAAAGAGATTGATGGATACCCATAGCCAAAGGAATGTTCTCTGATCGTAGGATGCACTGAGATGCCCACACCCTCCTGCATTCCCACCCCCTAATCTAGATGTTTCCTGAGCTCCATAGTGTCTGACCCCAAATCTGTTTCTGCCAATTGTACCTGTAAGTGAAGTAATTTACTTTCACGGGACTTAAATGAAGAGCATACTGGTGGACAAAAGAGTAGTGTTTTTTATGAGAACAATGGATACTTTGGAAAGATAAGTGTCTCTGAAGTTGTACTGTTGACTCAGGTGCAGGCAACAGACCGAGGATGGAATGGGCATGCAGAAATCTTGAAAGGATCGCCTTTCACATTGCTTAAGGGCACGGAATTTTTAAATGTACCATACAGAATCCCCAACTGGAAATTGCTGAAGATGCTTAATGAGAGTGTTTTTTGGAACTCCTATCAGCCTACCCACACCACAATAGAACCCTTCAGCTGTGCATCGAAGATTAACGATTAGATTAGATTTTTACCTGCCCGGTCAAGGATTGTACTGAAGTGATTGGTTTGGAGGTGGGAGGCAGTTTGTCTCCCTCACTTGACTGTGAGTTTCTTGAACACAGGGATCACATCTTGCTTCTCTTGGGAGTACCTCTGCTTAGGAAGAGTGTTTGGATCCTTTAGAGGACTTTCTCTAAGGGCTTCTTGACTCAAGGGAACTCCTGAACTTATTTTTGGTTCAGGGGGTCAGGGTGTTTCAACAATAAGGTCTTTTGTTATTCATTATAGCCACTAGGGGGCAATGTAGCTGCATTCTTTGGGAATGGCCATCCTGGGGAGCTTGTCTCCAAGCTAGATCCCCTAAACTGTGATAAGCCCCCCTAAAGTGTGTTGGAGAACCTATGGCATAAAGATCTCACCAACACTGGTGTTCTTTGTATATGTGTTTCCTTTGTTTATTTGTAGGAGCTCACTGATTCCATCTTTTCTAAACAATAAAAGGAACAAGTAGTAACCGCCACCTCATTAAGTTAATTATCAAGCCCAGCCAGTTCTGGAAGAAGGAAAAGTAAATAGGAAGAAGAAAAAGAGCCCCTCATGCAAATTAGTGTAAGGATTACAAATTGGTACAGTGTATAGCTCACGGTGCTTTATAGCAGGGGCTTGGAGGGAGCACTACTGAGAAATTTACAGTTGTGTCCATATGAATGGACAGACTTCAACCCTTCCTCCCTCTTCCTTCTTTCAGCTCTGATGGGCTGGAATCAGACTCCAAAAATTAAGCTACTAGTTGCTCATTCGAAGGAATGTCATCTTCTAGGACCAAGATGGTAGTGAGACGAAAAAGAGTTCAAGACATTGTCTTTAAAACACACACACACACACACACACACACACACACACACACAAAACCTGTGAAAGTAAACAAGAATGATTAGTTTGCTTTTGAGTGAGTCGCCCTGCTGAATTGCAGCAGAACTGATGGCCTGTGGTATGGGTCTTAATACAGCCTGGGTCCAGGGGAGTCGAGGCCTCCTACTTCATAAGAATTGCTTCCAGAGAAGTAGTGAAGCACGTCTGTTCCAGAGTACTACTTGAGAATTAATTAATCTAAAATGAGATAAATAGTCCTATGTACAGTTTTCGTGGCATCTTGAAATAGCTGACCAAGAGGTGGAGTGATTCAGGTCCCAGGGTGTGGAGGGAGCCTCTGACCTGGGCTTGAGGCTCACCTCTGCCTCCAGCTGGTGTTGAAGGTCAAGGGTCCTGTTCCATCTCTCCTCTGGGTACCAGTTCCACATTGCCCCTCCGTGAAATACGGGGACTGGGCGAGTGGACAACAAAGGATCTCAAGACCTCCCCCAGGTCTAAACACTCATCTCTTCCTTTTCCAGGAAGTAACCCTTAGAGACTTGCCCTCCACTTCCTTCCGTTTCAGAAACACAACTCTTTTAGAGGCAATGTGAAAAAACACAGCAATCACACAAATTGCTATTTCTCCGTCCACACTTAATTTACCTTTTTGCTTGCATCTGGCAGGGTTCAAGATATGGTTGGAATGGATTCAAGAGGATTTTTCCAATGAAATAAGAACGGATGTTACTGTTCAAACCACGTAAATTCAAAGTGTGTGTGTTCAGAACAGAAACTCAAATCCAGTATTTGCCCTCTAGCTGCTCACAGCTGAAGGGAGTGGTGACACCTTACTCAAACTGAGTAAGAAAATGCATATACTGACATTTCAAGACTGTACAAACAGGTAAGGCTGCCTTTTAAGTTTTTTTGACTCCTGAAGATTTTCTTTCCCCCCTTCCCATGGAGAAGTAATGAAGAGCCAGATCTTCAGGTGTCTGTCTGGAAGGCCTGCAGTCTTCCAGAAGTCCAGTTAGGTCTGAAACAAAAGTTCCACCCTTGACCTCCTCAGAAGAAATAACTTCCCCAGCCCCTTCCTTCCAGAGAAGGAAGACCACGGTTGGCCAAGCCGTGTGTGGCGCTTGTGCATCTTAATGACTGTTTTTCAGAAAGTACTGTCCCATTGATCTGTTTGTGGCGTTACGCAAGGAGTTAAGGTACAAAGAGGGGTCAGACCCAGTGACTGCCCTCAAAGTGCTTGTCACTAATTACAGCTTCCCTCCCCTTACACCTCTGGTCCCCCCAGACTTTTGGGTTAAGAGAGTGGCCTCATGCTGTCTTCCGATAAAACCCCGGTCTCCTAGGGTTTGGGCCATAAGCGAGTTGGGCCTCCCCTCTGCTCTTTCTCCGAAGGGCCCATCTTAGTTGCTGAACAACAGAAGCACTATAGGAATACTTGGGGGTGGGGAGTGAACTGAGAAAAGTCGCCGGGCTACCCCTGGCCATCTTCCGGGGCTGCCCTGGCTTACTTGACTTCGTGAGTTGCAGCAGGGCCTCAGCGGACCCACCTGTAACAGGCAGAAAATACTGCCAACTCAAAGGAGCGATCCCTTTAGCACCAGGCCTGGCTCAGGACGCGCAGGCGAGCAGCTGGCCCCTTATTTTGTCATCCCACGGGATGACGCTGGTGTGGAAAGCCTGGGTTTGAGGCCCCTCACTTAGAACATAACTTGGGAAAAGTCTGAAAGCCTCAGTTGCTTCGTTAGTAAGATGGGGAGAAAGTAGGCCCTGATGCCTTCGCGGGGACGCGGGGGCGCGGGAGGAGCGCACAGCCCGGTGCGGACGCGGGGTCAATAACCTGAACCCCCGCCGTGGTTGCCCGCGAAGGCGAACGGGCCGTCGGTGCACCCTGAGGACCCTGCCCACAGGCCCGTCCCGGAGGCCGGAATCCTTCCTGGAAGAGGCGCGGGGTGGGGAGGGAGGCGGGGGGCGCGCCGGCACGGGGAGGGCCACCTCGACCCCCGCCTGGGGCGGGCGCGGCCGCTCGGGCGTGTAGGGGGCCGGGCCGGGAGCCGCCCGGGCGGTGGCCGGGTCCCTGGGGCTGGGCGCTGCTGGCGGAGCCGACGGGGCGGAGAGGAGCGCGGCGGGGGAGGAGTGGGAGGAGGGGGCCGGTCAAGGGAAGTGCGACGTGTCTGCGGGAGCCTTTTTATACCTCCTTCCCGGGAGTCGGGCCCCAGCAGCCGCCGCGCTCCCAGAGTGCCCGCACCTCCGCTCCCGGGAGTCGAGCTCCGAGTGTCCGCCGCTCAGCGTCCAGTCCGCCAGCATGTCGGGGATCAAGAAGCAGAAGACGGTAGGGCCGCCCGCCCCCACCCCGCCGCCGCTCCCGGGCACCGCGTCCCCCTCCCAGGGAGCGGGCGAGCAGCCGGGCGCGGAGGCTCCGGCGCCGGGAGGGGGGGGAAGGAGGAGGGGGAGCGGGGAGGGGGGACCCCGGGGCAGCCCTCGCGGGGCAGCCCCTCTCCGCCGGCGCCCCGGGGAACCTGCGCCGCTCGGGGTCGCCACGCCCGGGAGGGAGCTCCAGAGCGCGCAAGGCGGGTCCCGGCCGGGCCGGGGGCGGGGGGGGGGGGGTCAGGGACGGGAAATTTCCTCTCTTCCCCAAGAGCTTCCCCGGACCCGCCTTTCCCTGTGTGATCTCCGCGCCGCTCGAGTGGGTGGCCGAGAGCCGAGGCCGGTTCCGCCGGGTCTGGGCGCACGTCGGCGGCACTCCCTGGCTTTTGTCCATGCCACCCCCTCCAAGGGAACGTTAATGACAGACTTCGTGGAGGGAACAGCAGTTGCCCCCGCCGGCAGCCCTTAGCCCTCCCCCTTGTTCAGCAGCTCCCTGCTGGCAGCGGGCGGCACCTCGGGGTCCTCCCGGGGCTCCTCGGCTTGGTGGGTTAAGATGAGCCGGCTGTTTTGAGGAGGCGCAGTTTAATCCAGAAGTAATCTGGGCTAGCCCATTTATAGGAGATAGAGAGATTGTCAAAGAAAAGTTCCTTTCTCAGCAATAGGGGTATTTTTTTTTTTTTAAGCAGTCTCCACGCCCAACGTGAGCCCAAGGAGGGGCTCAAGTCACGACCCTGAGATCAAGACCTGAGCTGAGATCAAGAGTCTGTTGCTTAACCGACTGAGCCACCCAGGTGCCCCGAATAGGGGCTCCCACTAATTTTGCATCCTAAAAAATGGCAGCAGTAATCATTGACTCCAGGTGGGAGGAGCCTTGCAGACAGCATTTGGTCCACACCGGAGGTGGTCTGCAAGCCCCGCTCAGATCCCAGCCGGCAGCCTGACTGCTGATGGTTCGACTTTACCACACTGCAAGCCTCAGGTTGTTTATGCTGGTTACTGAAAGGGTTGACCCCTCTCATAGAATTAGACTTGAACTTGGCACATAGTAGGTGCTCAGTACATGTTTATTACTATTATTATGTAATGCTTATTACTGAACTGTCTTTGAGGTGTAGTCCTGGCCGGCTGGGAGGAGAGATGGCAAACCAGGAATTGGGGGGAGGAGCCTGAAGGGGGCTAAGGCAGGGACTGCAGGTGTGGGCTTGAGCAGCAAGGGAAAGGCGGTGGGTGCTTTGTGGTTTCAGGGGACCACACTGGACCGCCAGGAAGGTCCAGGACGAAGGTGGCATCAACTTCAGCTGCCTTTTATAGGAGCGATTTTCAAGTGGGGAGACTCTCAGTATTGTAAGATTGTTAAAAATATTAAGTGAAAATCATCTGTGTTTTATTCCTATCTAATTTGATTAACTTCTGTAAAATTCTAAATGGTATCTTTCACGTGACAAGCTGCTGTGGCACTTGATGGCTTTGCATATCAGTGGGGTTTTAGTTCTCCGCCTGCTTCAAGAATTCCTTCCCAGTTCTTATAGGGAGCTTTGTCAAGCATTAGTAATGAAGGGACAGGTGGTCTTCCCCTTCAGGCCCCCAGTCAGCAGGCGCCCGGCAGTGAGGAAGGTCTGAGATCAGGGGGTTACAAACTGATCGCGGGCCCTGTGCAGTCAGAGACAGTGAGAAATTTGAGGGCCAGAGGCTTTGCTTTTTCTCTTTACACATTTTAAACCTTACATTTTTTTGTTTGGGGTGTGCGTGTGTTCTGTGTAGGATTAAATTAACACCTGAAAAAGCTAGCAGGACCTCTGAACTTTTATTTAGCCAACATGATTATAATCCACGCACCAGCACAAATTCCAGAAGGGTCAGATAGAGGCGACTGGGTAAAGCAAGCCAGCTTTAAATGCATCTGAAATCTCCCAAGCTTTAAATGGTAACGCCACGTGTATTCTGAAACCTTGGCGGTCCACGACAAAATAGGTCCACACGTGTGGCCTCAGAGACAATCATTATTTGAGGAGTGGGTCTTACTGATCTAGGAAGCTATCCTAGAAGTGAGGCTGGGTGGCCTTTTTCAGAGACTCACAGGAATCATTCCATTATTTTCTGCATTGTCCACAGAGGATGGTCAATGTACACCACAGTCTCTGCAGTAACTGCAAATATTTGTCGCGCCCCTACTGGGCGGGATGAATACATCTTTCCCAGGATTTTTTTTTTTTTGCCACACTTTCTGGATGGGAGACTATAGGATGATTTTCTCACGAGCTTGAGAAGAAAATGAAATGTTCTTTTATAAGGGAAGGTAGCACATTCCTTCCGTGCTAGGCATCCTTACCGTGAAAAGCAAAGACAGCCATGTGTCACATCCATCTCTCCCTCCTGTGACTTACCTCCAACTCTGGCCACCAGCATCCCACCTACACTCACACACACCCAGGAGAAGGAAGGAGGCAGTCAGCTTCCAGAGGACTAGAAAGAAAGGCAAAGAAAGGCCTGATTCTTTCTTCTTGCATCATTTCCTGGATTAGTATTTTTTCAAGGCAATGTTATGTTCAGACAATGTTATTATGTCCCAGAGACAGACAACCAATCTAAAAAAAGACAACTGAGATAGTAAAATATTTTCCAAAGGATCAAACAAGCCAGTTGGGAAGGAGTATTGGAACCTTAAAGCGATCCATAGATATAAGAGATTATTTGCCTTTTATTATTTTGTGTACAACACCACATTATTTTTCCAACGTTAGCTACTTTGGAAACTATTTGAAGGTGCTCCCTAAGGCAAGACATGAATTTTCAGACGAGTATCCATTGGAAGGAAGGAGAGACCAGCACTACTTAGAGGCCACACTGTATTTCATTTCATCCGCACGGTGGCCTGCGCCCCACCAAACTGAGCCTCGTCTCTAGGGGAAGAGAATGCCAGGAGCAGCTCAGGATTTGGATGCAGGTCTGTCCGCCTTCCAAGCTCATGCTCTTGCTCCTGCGGTATCTGTTTCAGGATGTAACCTCTGTGGTGCATTGTACCCATCTGTAAAATGGAGGTAAGGGAGCCCTTACAATGTTGTGAGGAGTCAGTAACTCCTAAAAAAAGTATCTCGCACAGTTCCAGGCCCCGAGTAAGTCCTTTGTATGTGGTAGCTGTTGTTCTTACACTACGCTGTAGTGTAAAACGGTTCATCAAACAAGGAGCAGAAAGCACGGGTCATACCATTCTGAAAGCCGGGTAAATAAGAACCACCGGAATATTTAATAAGAGCAAACAGATGCAGAAGAATAGAAGTGATGATATGAACCCTCATTGTGAAAAGCTGGATAGAAGAGCCAGGCTGGTCGTGAGTTTGGACACACCAGAGTAACCCAAATATCAGCAAGATCTTGCCACCAACCTTGGCCAAGAAAGAAAGGGCTTCTATGCCTATGTCACTATTGGACTAACTTCTCTCCACCCTTCCTGTGCCTTCAACTGTTTCCAGATCTGCCTTAAAATTAGTCTTTGTCCAGTTCATGTTATTATCCCAGACTCATCTGTCTGGACTTTTACAGTTAAAGGTAAGTGCAGTTCACTCTGAGGTAGTTAGCTTTGTCTTTCATCACGTTTCTGTCCATGCACCGGACTCTGTGGTTTGCTTAGGGGACCATCAGGCCAAACTTGAACATGGGACTTCCAGGGAATGGGGACCTGGAGAGGAATCAATAATGTCGATATCAGTCCTCTAGAAGACGGCTGTTTATCTTGAAATCTATCAGTAAATAGTCACGGGCACCGCTTAGTCTTGGTGAATTGTTCACACAACAGCTGAGATGACACCCATGCCCAGCAACCTGGCACAGACCCTCGTACACACTAGGTTGCACAAATGGCCACGGAATTCATTAAAGGATGAATGTGCTTGTAGGATCTAGATTTTTCTGAGATTTCCCCTTCTCCTTTTTCATCTGTCTGCTCTTGTGTGCTTGCTTATTTTTGCCTGGGTATTTGTCATTACCACTGAAAAATGACTTGCAGGAGTTCTTTGAGGCTTAGGATGAATGGCTTTTTTTAGGGGTAGAATTTGCTTTTGTTTCTGCCGCGTGTCTGGTGGCACCCCTAGTCTGGGACCACTTTGACCTAAATTTACCACTTAAAGTGTTTTAGACAACCCAGGTGATGTGAATTTGAGTTGCAGTTTTGCACACAAGGGCCAGCTCTTGCAGACAAGTTCTCACACCTACCCTGCCTCCCCCTAGGAATACTTTTCAATGCCAAGGCAAATTGTCCTTGCAGTCTGTCCGTGTGGGAGGTGGGTTTATTTGGATGCACTCTTTTGTGTGGGGGATGACTCTTACGAGCTTCAGCTTAACTTGACATGGGCTTTTTTATTCTTCCCACGTGGGTATGTTCTGGGCTTCGATTTCTCTTTCAGCTCCCCGTGAGGCTATCGAAATTGTTCACACCTGCTCCTATCAGGCGAGAAGTGCCTCCCTGCTTGCTTACCTCTTAGGTCCCTACTTCCTTGCAGATTTTAACCTGGTAGTTTCTTTTTCTCTTGTCAGCTTTTGGTGTTTCTAATTAGATTATGTTATATTGTAACTTGAATTCCTTACTTGTCTGCATGGAAGGAAATGTATACAACCTAGACCATCAGTGCTGGAAACAAAAATCTCTGCCTCTTTTTTTTTTTTTTTTTGCTTATGTGTTATTTGTTTCAAGGGTACAGGTCTGTGATTCATCAGTCTTACACAATTCACAGCACTCACCACATCTGTCTCTTCTTGATTCCTGGGTATCATTAACATTTCATATCAAACCTTTACCTTCCCTACTTGTTACCGTTGTTATACAGGGAGCACTTTAAAAAGAAGTGCTTTAAAAACTTAAATCAGATTGCTAGTCAGAAATATTTAATTTAATTTAATCCTCTTTCCCTACAAAGTACTAATGTCGGGGTGGGGCTGCTTACCTTGTCTGGGTGGGCGTCCTTTCAGATG